ATGACCTCGCATAAAGCCAGGAGTAAACCCTGAGCACTGCAGGGTGCTGCTTCCCCAAACAAACAAAAATAAAAGAAGAAGAGGATCACAATTTGGCAAAAGTCTTTGATTCAACCTGTAATGCTTCAGAAGAAGCAAATAAGCCAGAGAGCGATGACTGAGTTAAGAAAACGATTAAGAAGGTAATAGGCCGGAAAGAGAATACAATGGCCAAGGTCCTGGCCTTGCACGTGGCTGACCTGCGTTTGATCCCTGTCATCCCACACAGATGTCCCAAGCACTGCCAGGAATGATTCCCAAGAGCAGAGCCAGGAGTAGCCTGAGATGCTCAGAGTCTGAGCACTGCCAGGTGTGGCCCCAAAACCAAATGTGGGGAGTGGCGGGAAAGAAGATATATAATTCATGTGAAGTATGTTATTTATGACAAAAACAAATTAATCTTGGGTTCCAGATTGACTCTAGTGGAGGTGAAAGTTTTTCACATAGGAGATAGGGTGTGAGAGAGAAGGAGTTAATTTCCTTCCTTATGTCTACTTTAAAGGAAGCAAAACCAATTATACTATCATAGTACATAGAGTATCACTACATAGAGTAGAAAAAAAAAAGCATACGGAAGCAACTGCAGAAGAGAACTAACTAGAGTTGGAAAACAGTTTTCAATGTCTACTGAAAGGTGAATAAGGAGAAGAGAAACTGGAGGCAAGAGAAGCTTTGGCTGGTCTAGCAAGAAAACACACATTGCGCAAGAGTGAGGGACTAGGGTCTGAGACCCATCAGACTCAGGCAGCCGCTAGAGTTTCGAACTGACAAGAAGACAGGGGCTCGGGGTTGTAGCCATAAAGCGACCCAGTTTGCTTACGTGACTTTGTCAGCCTCCACTCTGGTTCTATCCTGTTACAGGGAGGGACTTTCACACGGGGAATTTATCGCCTGTGTTCAAGGACAGAAAAGAGGACTGGCATGTTCTTTCACCAGCTGCGTCGTAAGCAATGCTCACTCAAAGTAATCAATGTGCCCCAAATGGTGCATTTTGGGGTGACTTTCCCTGAACCGCCTCAGAACTATGTACAAATATTTTCTACTTTAGGAAATGTGTTTCATGCACAGGAGCAGGGCTTAACTAAGTCTATGCTGCAACAGACAAATAATTCACTGCGATTTATAATGGGGGTTAGGGTTTTCGCTGTTTGCAAAATTGGCGGAAGGGTCAGACCTGGAATGTCAGGATGTCCTTATGGTTTTGAGCACATCTGCATTTCTTTCTATCCTCCTGTCTGCTAAGAGGTGCTGGCAGCAGTGACATTCCACAAAGTGAGCAAACCGGGAAGCACCTAGACCTCTGGTTTCTAACCACTCTCCAATAAAAGGAATCACAGTTCCTTAGAGAAATGGCCAATCCTAGGTCCGGGCAGGAAAATTACAAAATGAGCTTAGAGCATCTTGTAGTGCCAGAAGCAACAACGTGCTGAAAAGAGAAACCAAAAATCAATGGAGTGGCCAGGAATACATCTCAGGTGGTAGAAAGCCCTGTCTGAGCCTGGCCCTGGGTTTGATCCCTAGCAACCTATGCCCCCTACCTCCACCCCAAACTCCAGCCCTGTACCACTGGGCGTCAGCATCAGCTCTGTAACTGAGCACTGCTGGGCCCACCTGTCCAGTCCTAAGCCATGCCAGGAGTTGCCTCTACAATTTTTTTTTCTTTTTGGGTCACACCTAGCGATGCACAGGGGTCACTCCTGGCTCTGCACTCAGGAGTTACTCCTGGCGGTGCTCAGGGGACCATATGGGATGCTGGGAATCGAACCCGGGTCGGCCGCGTGCAAGGCAAACGCCCTACCCGCTGTGCTATCTCTCCAGCCACAGCCCCTACAATTTAAAGCAAGTAAGCAAACAAACAAACAAACAAACAAGGGACCAGACATAGTACAGCAGCACGGGAGCTTGCTTGAACGCAGCTGACCCAGGTTTGATCCCTGGCATCACATTTGGTCCCCCAGCACACAGTAGGTGCGATCGTGAGCACAGAGTCAGGGGTAAGCTCTGAGAACCACAAGATGTGACTACCCCCCTAAACAAAAGCAAAACAAAACAATGGAAGGATGATGCAAAGACGAAGAACAGTTTCTAACGGCCAAATGCAGGGGCAATTTGACAACCAAGTAAGTAAGCACAGCCTGGAGTGCTTCAATCCAGCACCACTTGCTGCCATAGCTCCCACCTCCAAGTACCCTAGGATGGAGCCGGAGGTCCCCCATCACCAATGGGTACAACCCTGCTGGTCCCTCAGCACCACCGGGCACTGCATCACCCACCCGAAACACAGACAGCCAAGTGTCACAAGTGGGCCCCAAGCCCCCCAGCACTACCCCCAGCCCCTGGCCAATCACTGGAAGATGCTAAAATTAGTGGGTGAAGGTGTGATGTCAAAGATGAAGCTGTGGGGCTGGAGCGGTAGCACAGCGGGTAAGGTGTTTGCCTTGCACACAACCAACACAGCCGACACAGGTTCGATCCCCAGTATCCCATATGGTCCCCCCGAGCACCGCCAGGAGCAATTCCTGAGTGCATGAGCCAGGAGTAATCCCTGAGCATCGCCAGGTGTGACCCAAAAAACAAAACAAAACAAAACAAAACAACAACAACAAAAAAAGATGAAGCTGTCTGCAGAGTTTCCTGGTATTTCCCACCCACCTACATTCAGTAATTACAAAGAGAAAACAACATCACGGCATCTAGACCGTCTGGCCAAGGAGCGCCTGCCGCAATGCGCAATGCACCGAGAGCAGGAGAGTCTCACTTCAGAGCATTCCCGGAAACGCTCAGCCTCAGCGTGACCCTGCGGAAACAGCAGACAAACCCAAACGAGGGACGGTCTGCAAAACCACTGACCAGTGATTTACAAAAAAAAGTCAGTCATCAAAAACACAGGGGGAGAGATAAAAAGAACTACTGCAGACTAGAGGGAGCTAGGGCACATGACAAAGAGGCACAAGATCGGCTTTCACAGTAATTTGATTAAAAAAAAAAAGAATTATCAAAAATATCAATACATTTGCCCACGTACCAGAATTTTTACATAAATGAACGAATAATAAAAAAAAAATAAACAGAAAACTGGATCCTAAATTTAACTGTGAACGAAAAAAAGGGCATAAGTTTGAGATTTGTTAAAAGTCAAATAAAGGGGCCCAGGGAGCTAATAAAGGGGGTTACATGCTTGCCTTGTATGCGGCTTACCCCAGTCTGATACTGGCACCATGCAATTCCTCACTGATCCCTGGGGCATACAGCCAGGAACAGCCCCTGAGGTCCCCCAGGTGCGTCCTCCCACACCCCCATTCAGATAAGATCCGCAGGACAGTAAGTGGCATCATTTCAAGAACTTCCTGATCTTGTTAAGTGCAGTACGGTGAAGATGCCAAAGGTGGTGGTTAGGTAAGACGTGAACCAGATAACATTCTCTGTACTAGCTTCGTCACTTGTGCAGACACCAAAAATTATTTCACACCAAAAAAACCTTAAAATGACTCCCGTCGCCCGTCGAAACATTACCAAGAGTAACCTCTGAATTAATTTTAGTCTGTTCCAAAGCAACTGGAATCAGGTAGTTTTGTGCTATTGTTTGACAATGGGGAAGTTTTTCGTTTTATTAACAAAAAACTGCAGTGTGAGACTATAAGCATTGAGGACGGGGGCAGCTCAGTCAGGATGAGCGTACAGCTAGTGCATGGGACCCTGGGCCTCGGTTTTGGACACCTCTGCCCCTGATAGCCCACACTGCTGCTGGGTGAAGCATGGGGGGGGGGGGGGGAGACAGAGAGGAGAGAGAGGAAGCAGAGAGAAAGAGGAGAGGAGGGGAGAGAGAGGAAAGGAGAGGAGAGGAGAGGAGAGAGAGAGAGAGAGAGAATAGGGAGAGAGGAACATAGTGAGAGAGTATCAGAGAAAACCAGAGAGACCAAGTCCGATCGAGGAAGCTAATGTATCTATCACAGGGGGAACAAGTCCTCAACATCTGTATATGTTTGAAACCCTCCGGAAAAAAAAGTTAAGGACATATTAGAGATTAGTTCTATAAAAACTCAAAAAACTGCAGATACTTTCCTACTTTTCTGGCGATTTTCACAAACATTTACGATCCCATCACAGATCTCTGAGGGGGCAGCAGGACCTTTGAAATAAAAAAGGTCTCCACCAGGTTGGAAGGATAGTACAGTGGGCAGGGCACTGGCCCTGCGTGTGGCTGACCTGGGTTCGATCCCCCACACCCCGTATGTTTATCGCCCCACCAGGAGTGCCATCTGAGTGCGGAGCTAAAGTCCAGCCAGGTGAGGTCTGCTGGGGGCCTGCCGAGTCCAGAGTCCTACCTTCACCCCGAGTCCAGGTATCCGTACCTCACACACATCTGGGCTCTTCTCTGCTTACTCTAAAGATGGTCACGCCTGAGAATCATCTAAACATTTAAACTGCACGCCGACAGTAATACTACCTATGACTGTCCTCAATTCAATAACAGCCAACTGAATTGGAACCAAGATGTCAGACTCATGGAAGAGAGAGAGAGAGAGAGAGAGGGCCAAAGTGACAGTGACAACATTAAAATTGAAGAAACTTGCTAATTCTGGTTTGCCAAATGTAGTGAACGCCTAAATTTCAAACAGCTTTTCCCCACGTCACCATCCTTGTTTAAGGTTTGAAATTCTTTGTTTCTTCCCCTTCCCTTCTCTGAGGCAAGGACCAGGGACCACACCTGTTTGACCCTGGTATCCCTTGGGGGCTGCACATCTGTTGACAGAGGCTGGCGGGACCTATACCCAGTCACGTTTGTTCAGCCCAGCAGCACAGGTCAGGGTGCTGCTGGGTCACCAGGACTGTGCCCCTCACTGCTGGGCACTGAACTTGGCCTGGGCATGCACTCTGTCTCTTGGGCCCGACCCCACCACAGGGCCCGATGGGTGGCCCTCCGCTGTGACGGGCCCGTGTCCAGTGGCGGCAGTCCTTAC